TTGAATTCTCCTGACTACCGAACCAAGGACATTATATTGGATACTCAACTGCGTCAATTGAGGCTCGTGAAAACTTATCATCATGTCTTGAACGAACTAAATGAAACACTTCCAAGGAGACATTACTGTCCCTAATCAAATAAAATAAAAAAAACTACGTATCGTCTTTACACCTGCAAAAGCAAACCAAAATTATATCTTCATTCAATATGAACTTTCAAGAGAAGTCAGGAATCTTACTATGTCTAGACTCCTGAAGCTGGAAATCATTCTTCCACAGTGGTCCCACCCGTAGCCACCAAACTACCATGATGGTCGGCTTTAACAGCACTCCCGCCAGCAGACTGCAAAATTGTCAGCTTTCAAGCCTTTCAGAAGAACACCTGATAAATATCCGTTTAAGGCTACAAGGGAACCCAAACCATTGTGTTTTTACAAAACAGAAGCATACTACCGGTGAAATAAGGTACAATCAAAACATGTTTTCCCTTGAGTTCTCATATAAAGAATCTGCAGATGTAATGTGAAGTTTTTTCGATTGAACCACGTAGAAAAGAGCACACTATGAAACCAATTCAAATTTCAATAGAGAAAAATATTGAAAGAAAAAGAGCAATCACAAACAGAATTATTGAATGAAAGTTATTGGAACGAACACAATTATGGGAGGACACCCCATGAACATTTTAATACACAAAAAAGTATCAAAATTCCTTTCACAGACGTAAAGCCCTGGTTGAGCCGAATTCTTTGAAAAGTATTGAATGCATCATATTCACGATAGGATCACTTTCTTGCTCAATAAGCAGCAAAAGATTCAATATAAATAATTCGGTACCATACCACTGGTGATTATTCACAATCAACGGTGGATTAGTGTGAGCCGTGAGTTCTAACAACCACTCTTGTTAGCTTCCAACCCATCATTGTGAACGTCACGACTTCCTCTCCACAAGTAGTATATGACATACCCCTTTCAAAGCCACCATTTTAGACGGAAGTTTCAGGAAAAAGAAAAATACAAAATGTCGTTGACAACACGGACAATCGTTTAATCACAACTGTTCAATTATAGGCGTTTGGAAACTTTCTTCATGGTAATAAACTTCGGAAATCGAGATGAACCTATGCAATAATTATGGAATTAATTATTCACATTAATGTACACCGTCAACGTTGGCTTTCACAGATCACCAAGGGTCGACTGGGTCTTTCTTCTCCTTATTTATTCCGGCATATCCTTGACATCAGATACAGTATATACACTCTAGTCACTGTTAAGGTTGAAGAACTGCGAAAATGCAGCCGTTAGGATATCGGGGCATGTGCAGAGTTGACCAACGCAGTGACGAACTTGAAACTTCCGTCTGAGGGGGCAGCTTTTTTCTCTTGTGGTCTTTTCCTGTTTTACAACGTTTTCTCTCTCGCATGCCGTGGTGTGACCTTATATATCTGTATTTTACTCTACTTCTTTTTTATTGTTGATGTATTTAGTGTATCAGGTGCAGAGATGCAGGCCCAACACCCTGCATCACAATGGAAGTAACAACATCGTTTTCGTTGTATCCGTAAATGTGGAATTTCCAACCAGAGTATGGAAACGCATGTACTGTTTTCTTCCAACCAGAAATTACAACTAAACGACATGTGGCAGTTAAGTTGACGAAACCTCCATCCCTATTTAGTCTTTTACGTATTGCGATGTAGCCGTAATTTGTCAACTGGCAGTTTTGACCATTTGACGGACGGAAGAAGAAAAACGTGCGTATCGTGTTCTCTTCATAAGTCTGTAGCTAAGCGTCCCCATCTGTCCAGAAATCAACAAGGTTCAGAGTGCCAAACAATTAATAGGCGGGGCTTTCTGCCCTTCAAACCGGCAACCAGACGTAGAACATCCTCCAAATCTGAATACCTCATGAATGAAAGAGGACGTTCGATCTGGACAACTGATGTGGACCGGGCACAGCAAATTGACCATTTAACTCCGTCTTAAATTAGAACTTTTGCCACACCGCAATGTCAAGTAAAAGTCGTTGGATTGTACAAGTGTTCGACGCCAAACAATGCCTAGCTAAATGACTGAGATTTCATTGTGGATTGTCAAACTTCCGTTAAAGGCAAACTTTCACCTGTTAATTTTCAAAACTTCATTACGAATTCCTGACCCGAGACAAGCCGGCGATGAAATCCCACTAGTAGTGCACGGCGAATAAATCTGGCAACTACAGGTCATCAGAAACAAGGCTCTTTCATATAACCATTCCTAGTAGGAAACGTATCAAACCAAGTGTTTAATTCTAAGTTCAACCTTCACAAAGGGGGGCTTCAGCAAACCGCATTCAAGGCTTCCCTTCCCTCTCTATAAAGCCCAGCCCAACACCGCCTCTGAGTCATCCAACAATAAGGTCGTCATGGCTGCCAAGATGACAGCCACGACAGCAGTGTTCCTGATCCTGAACCTTCTATTCGTCACCTTGGCTTCTTCCCAATCCGAAGGACCCCTATCTCCTCCACCAACAGAGAGCCCCTCCACTCCCGTCGTCGCTGTCCTCACTCCACCTGCTACGTCGCCTATCGAATCTTCACCTTCAATTCCCCTAGCCCCATCCTTGCCGCCGTCGTTCTTACCCCTGGTTGTACCTCCGTCTGCTCCCCCAGTGGTACCTCCGTCCACTCCCCCAGTGGTACCTCCGTCCACTCCCCCAGTCGTTCCTCCGTCCACTCCTCCAGTCGTACCTCCCTCCGCGCTATCAGTGGTTCCTCCGTCCACTCCCCGAGTGGTTCCTCCGTCAACTCCCCCAGTCGTTCCTCCGTCCACACCCCCAGTCGTACCTGTTGGCTTTGCAAAGCCAGATCCACTCCAAAAAACTCTCGGATACAGGAAGAGTCAAGAAGAAGGAATCGGAATAACTATAATTGATCAAAAAAACAAAGTTTCATTCTTCACAGTCAATACGTCGAACACATTGTCCCTTATAAAGGGAAGCCAATCATCATAGGAGAGAAAGACACCATGCAACCAACTCCACGCTGAGTTGGCTTGGTGTTTGTGTTGGCACCATCCTTACCGTTATAACTCTCGACGATAGAGGGCCTTGATCAATCTTGTAAACAGAAAATAACTACCTGGAAAAAGGGAAAACGCCCAATTCAGTCTCGCTAAAGTATTTGTCGGAGACTGTTATTCGCGACGTTATATGATGGGATTAGATCAGGCCCTTCAATCTTTCCCTTGCTCCAGTTCCTCCGTATGGACATCCTTGATGTCCAAGTGCTCCCGCATCTCCACAAATTTTAGCCTTTCGAGTGACTTGGTGAGAATATCCGCCAATTGATCCTCAGTCTTCACATAGTTCACTGAGATCTTCTTGTCTTCTACACACTGACGAATAAAGTGATAACAAGTGTCAATTATGCTTAGTCTGGCTATGATGCACCGGATTCTTGCTTAAGATAATGGTTGATTTGTTATCCACAAGAAGCTTCACAGTCCCTTCTTCTACTGTAATTCGCTAATGAGGCGATTAAGCTACACGCCCTGACATGTAGCCGTAGTAGCAGCAATATACTCCACTTCACACGAAGATAAGGCTACTAACTTCTGCTTTTGAGAAGCCCAGCTAATAGCCATCTTACCAAAGAAAAAAACTTGCCCGAGGTGCTTTTCCTGTCTTGCGCATCACCAGCAAAATCGTTGTCATTGTAACCAATTAATTCTGCCATTTTAAGTCTTTTTTCATATACTAAATCATAGTGAGTTGTACCTTTCAAGTATCTTAGAACTCGCTTGATGGTCGCGAGATACTCTGAAGTTGGGTGCTCAATAAACCTGCTCAGAAATCCCACAGAATATGTCAAATTAGGATGCGTGTGAGTCAAATATCATAAGCTTCCGATGAGGCTACGAAAATAGGTAGAATCAACTGATGTACCTAAATTTAGTGCACCAAATTTGACTCTAGCTTCAAGCGGAGCTTGCACTAGATTACACTCGTCCATCTTTACAAAATTCAGTACTTTCAGTGCATAAGTTCTCTGTGACAAAGTAATATATGCTTCATTCTGAACCACTTTGATGCCCAAATAAGAACAAAGATATCTGAGATCACTCATCTTGAAGAAATGCTTCATTTTTTCTTTGAAATTGTTAATGTCGCTGTCAGTCTCTCTTGTGACAATAAAATCATCCACATAAACACCGATGATCAAGTGAACTCGGTCAGAATATCTCAAGTAGACAGCTTGCTCATGCTTACTTCTCTTGAAACCGAGTTAGATAAGACATTTATGAAGCTTGAAATTCTATGCACGTGGGGCTTGCTTGAGCCCATATAACGCTTTCTTTAGTTTTAGAACACAGCCCTCTTTATCCTTCACAATAAATCCTTTAGGTTGTTTGACATATAATTCTTCCATCACATCTCCATTTAGAAAGGCAGATTTCACATCTAGAGATTTTCTTTTCTGAGGGTTTGCCCGTGGAGTCCCCGCTCAGATCCCAACACCTTTGTGGTAGGGGTACCGAAACTTAGTCTCCTCTAATCTCAAGCTTGCAGAACCCGGCATTATAAATGAGTTCTGGATTTATTGGTACCAGTTTCACGTGATTGTTTTGGCTTCCATACTGCAATCAGTGTGCCCGAAAGATGGCTCTCACGTGTTGTGGAGTAACCAAACACAAACAGTTTATTGCTGTAATTCGGAAACCAAATGAAGGTAGCACGATAAAACACAAGGATGTTAACCAGAAAATGCTGGCAGTTGCTCACAGCAGCGTCTAGGAGCACAGATAAGGCGGCGTGGGAATCACTGAACACTGGAGTCTATTCATCTGTACGAATCAAAAGTTTTAAGGGCACGACAACCCAGCAGGCACCGGCCTGCCGCAGAAATTCAGGAGCAACGCGACGTCCTCGGGAATCTGCAGATTAAGTCCGAGGAAACTGTTGCTGGCGGCGAAGCAGAGGCACACTGCGGCCTGTTCGTTGGAGAGCCTATCGATGAGCGCGCAACAAGCTCCTCTAGGGGGGCGGATACGAGTTACCCGGAGAGCGAAGAGCACCGGAGCGCAGATTCTTAGCCCGACGGCATCGATAAGGCATCTCACACCCACGATGGGACGAGGCGGCGGCAGCGGTGGGGGCGGTGGTGGTGGTGGTGGCGGGGAGGATGGAGGTGGGGACGGCGGAACAACTGGGGGCGAGGACGGAGGCACTGCCGGGGGCGTGGACGGAGGTACGACTGGTGGAGTGGACGGAGGAACGACTGGGAGCGTGGACGGAGATACGACTTGGGGTGCGGACGGAGGTATTACTGGAGGTGCGGACGGAGGTTCAACCGGAGGTGAGAAGGGGGGTGGTGGTAAGGACAACGGCGGCGGGGAAGGTGGAGATTCGATAGGCGACGTAGCAGGTGGAGGTGAAGACGGAGCGACGACTGGAGGGGAGGGGTTTTCTGTTGGTGGAGGAGGAGATACGGGTCCTTCAACTTGGGAAGAAGCCAAGGCGGCGAATAGAAGGTTCACGAGCAGGAAAAAGGCCGTCGTGGCCGTCGTCTTGGTAGCCATGACGAGCCTGAGGTTGGGTGATTCAGAGGCGATGTTGGGCTAGGGTTTTATAGAGATGGGAAGGAAGCCTTGAATGCGAGCTGCTGAAGTCCGCCTTCGTGAATGTTGAACTTGCAATTCAATTAAACACTTGGTTTGGCACGATTCTTAGATGAGATGGTCGTATGGAAGAGCGTTGTATCTACTGGCCTGTAGTTGCCATATTTATTCGGCGTGCGCTGTTAGTGGGATTATGACTTGCAACCGAACCGAACAGAGGGCCCCCCACTACAATCAGCATTGGTTTCATCCTAAGCTTATGCGGGGTCAACAGTTAAGACCATCAGATAGGTTTCATCGTAAGCTTATACAGTTGGCTTAAGACTGGTGCACAATAAGGTTTGTATAAGATCTAGATTTGGGGTGTCCTTATAATCCTTTCTATGAATACATTGACTCTTAGTTCAAACTAATTTTACCATTTATTCTATCATTCTATTGCGTTATATTCAATATCTCCCCTTTGTCCCACATTTTATTCCTCTTGTCTTCACCTTTTTTAGATTTAATTCTACCCTTCACGATCTCAACTATATATAGATATAGGAAATAAAATAAGTAAAATTCTTACTCTTATTTCCTATACTCCCTAAAAATTGACCATTACTTATCCTAAATAGAAGAGTGAGGTTTTATAAATATTATTTCATGAATTTGGTTGCATCAAGATGACATATTTAACCTCCAATTCATGTTCATCACCATGAATCACTATATTTTCTTCTCATTATTATGATAATTTTTAAATTACTAAAAAAAGCTAAAAAATGTCTTCATAGATTTCTTAAAAACTTAAAATAAACTATTTTTAAAATTTAACTTTATGAGTAATTTCTATTAACATATTGATTCAAATTATAATTTTTTCATTTACATAAATCATAAAAATTAGCTAATTAAAAAAACATTACATCACTCACAAACTAATATTAATGTTTTTTACTTAAAAAAATCACAATTTATGTTAATTCATGCTAGAAATTATGTGTATTACTTCATTATTAGATAGAAACAAAGCATTATCACGGGTTTTTATGTTTCAAAAAAGTAAATTCTTTTACATATATAGTGTGATTAAGTCAAAGTTGGAAAGTGTTATTTGTTGACTCATTAATCGTTTGGACTATTATATAGCCCAATAAAATATAACATGTTATAATAAACCCTACAATCATGAAAGGGATGTAGAAACTGCCCACTAAATAAATGGAGGCATTTTAGTCAATGCCTCCACATACTCTTGGTCTTTCCCTCCCTCCTTTTTAAATAGGGGAGGGACATGGGAGAAGGCATTTAAAGAGGATTCTAGTTCTTCTATTTTTGTTTTTCTTTCCTTTTAAAGAGGATGACATTTGGCACCAAAGAAAGAGATCCAAAAGTAGTTGTTAGGTTCTCTTTCATTTGTTTCTAATGGGGGACAAAGGGGCCATAATAGATCTCCTTAAAGAGAGCTGCACACTAATCTTTAGAGTTGACTTAAATTAAAACTTTGAGGACTTGATATCCAGATAATCCCATGGTTTAAAAAAAAATAGGATCATTAATTTCCTATTGAGTTATCTAATTCAAAAAATCAAACAAGACTTCTCAACCAAGGTTTGGACCACCAATTTTTCACACAAAGGTGGTTATCCTATGAATCTCACAAATTCTAAGAGGAAGGATCTAAAAATAATTACCAACTTCAAAAGAAATTTAAAAATCAACATACCTTTGCGATAGAGATTTTTGATATCTTGAAGATTCTTGTTGATTTGAGTTTCACAAGCTTTGTTAGTGATTTTCAAAGGTTCAGATTGAGTGGTTCGCACCAAGGAGTGGACTGATGCAGTTCGAAGGGAATAAGCTGTTTGGGTTGGGACGTAGAAATGAGGTGAAATAATAAAATAATGATGACTGGAAAAGAAAAGGTGGAGAGAGAAAAGGGGGTGGAATGAGAGGGTGTCGGCAGGAGAAAGAGAGAGAGAGAGAGAGAATGCGGGGTATGTTGTGACGTTGAGAGACAGAAAATAGGGGATTCTCGTGCAGACGAGAACCAAGGGTGATTTTTTTAAATATTAACTAAAGGGTGGAGGGAGAAAAGGGGCAAAATGAGAACGTTGGCGGGAGAGAGAGAGAAAGAGGGTTTCACGTGGGGCTAACGGCAAAAAGGTAGAACGGCGGCGACGGCAGGCTGATGACAAGGTGGACGGCGAGGAAAAGGAATGGCGGAGGAGATTGAACGATTCGTGGCAACGGTGACACTTATAGGGCTTGCAGCGATGGAAGGAGAGGGCGACAATAGGCGGTGAAAGCAAGGTTGGAGGTGGTTGCGGCAGCGGCAAGGATAGTGAGAGGCAAGTTAGGCTGAAGTGTGGACAAGCAGATGATGACAGGATGGAAGGATAATGAAGTGGGAGAAGAGAAAGAGAAAGAGGTACCCTAAATCCAAGAGGGTGAGAAGAAGAAGATACCCCTAATCCAAGAGGCGAGTGAAAGAGAATAGGAACCCCTGATCCAAGAGGCGAGCGAGGGGAAAGAGGAACCCCTAATCCAAGAAGTGAGAGTGATAACAAGAACTTTCTTGATTCTAAATTCATCTTTTTTAAAATTGTTCGTATGTTTGAGTATTTATTAGAAAGAGAGGAAGGTAGTTAGAGGCATCTCCTTCCAAAGGATGTCAAGTGGTGTCTCTTGGAGGGAGAGGCACCTTCCTTCGAGGAGAAAGGGTGCATAGGTGACGTGGCCTCTTCTTCCTCCTCGTGGGTCCACCTAAGGGAATGAACCCTCATGTTGACTCCATCAGTTTCTCTCTCTCATTTTCTCCAGGTATGATAGATGATTTCTTTTGAACCTATGTCCCTCACTCATGTGCGTTTGTTTTTTCAATTTGGGTTCAATCTGCTCATCTTTGTCATTAGTTTGGATGTCCTAAATACGTCTGTATTGAAGACTATAATTCTTCTGAGATCCGACTTCCACCGTTATTTCATGTTTGTATCCCGTTTCAGTTCTTTACCTTGCAACACCACATGACCCTAGAGAAATGCATTGAGTACATATGATGATGAAATGGTATGGATCTAAAATGGCAAAGTGAACTCAATTATAGCGAATTGAAAGAAGCTACGATGAAAAGACTATTAGGCTAGGTTCAAATATGAAACGATGCCACTTTGTTAAGAAATTCATTTTATTCTTCTAGTTTCATCTACGCATGGAAGTTACACTTTAATTGTTAGATCTTTATTTTTTACTGCATGAGACTTGGACTGAGGAACTATTTCCTTTCAATCTTTTCCTTTGCTCCCATCACCCAGAAGAGTCGTGCAGGAGACAGGTGGGCTTTTATTGGGTATGGAAACCTTGTGAAGGATAAGGGAAACTACAAAAAGATACAAAGACAAACAGTGTCATTGTTCTCGTTTCCACGTATCTATTTCCTCCCAAGGCCTGCCTTCTGCCTGTTCAAAGCAGTCCTGAATATGTTGCGGCCTTAATACAGATAGTATCAATGCCAACCTCCATGTATATTTCAGAAGTAAGTTGGCCCCGCGTTTCATGTAGGGGATCTTGGACAGTTAACTGCATCATTTTCTCGTTTACTTCCTCCGTAAGACCTTCTAGCCGATTAAGAGCGACCTGTCAGTTGCGCTCGTCCATGCGTATTGAACACTCAAACAGATGGGTTGTAAATCTTTGTTAACTGTCGCTTCAGAAAATGAGTTCACACAATTAAGGAAGTCACAAAGTCGCGCTTGGATTTAATGCTCTTTTTATGTGTAGACGTTTCGGTTATGACTGCTGAACTCAGTTGCTTTGGTATTTTGCTTTCCCTGCAAGTAATTGGAATTCAGGGTTACATGTTGATACGTTCTAGAAATATCAAGGCTACTTAAAATTTACTGGCACATGCTATACATATTTTACCACGATGTCCACATATAGGTGAATACTTTTCGTGAAAGGCAGTATTTTTGCCACATTTACTGTTGTTTTCTTTGTATGACCATATGTTGGGAATTTTGGCCTGTAAAACCTTCATATCTTTAATAAAGATTTACACTAGCTAGTCCAATGTTCGGAGCATAGGAACTGTTTTAAATTATTTTATTAGATTCTGGAATAGTGCATCAAACAAGACATTTACTCTGACTACGAAGTAAACTGTAAGCCTCCGTCAAGTCAAATATCTCCAATGAACCGTAGAGACTACAGAATATTATTACAAAAACAATAAATTAAAACGGAATACCTTGAAATGGCGTCATTTTTGTGACAAGCATAAGAGTCAAGTAAGCCTGAGGCAGAAGTTCTGAAAGAGTTTGCTACGTGATATGAGGAGACCGTTTATTCCAGGCGTCTGAGGCTACATCTTATCAGTCATTTGACTCAAGTGAAATTTAAAACCACTGCATTTAACATCTCGGTGACCAACGCATAGTCTTACTACTGGACGAGTTGTCTCAAAGTAGTGGATTTGGATTTTCCCTCTCAGAAACAAAGCAGAGCTATCTTTACGATAATTAACCTGTCATTGCCAAATAATCAGTCTATTACTATGAAAAGTCTCTTTCGTCGAGAACACGATTTCGTAGATGAACCATGGTTTGTGATTAAATTCCTCAAGAACACGCATTCAATAAAATCCTTGGTGAGGTCAAGAAACTTGAAACATTTACTGGGAAAGGTATAGAATCCTAGTGAGTTTTCTGCGTCAACTTTGCTAATCAAAACTGCACATGCTCAACTTCTTATTCAAATCTCATGCAGAAGATATCATCTTGAATCTACCCTCCAATTTCCTTTTCTTTAGACAGGTTGCAGTAAGATAAAACTCACCACTCTTGGTGCCATCTACCTAGATTTTTTTTCCTCCCGCTTTAAATTTCTATCACATGGTAGAACGTTCAAGCTCGTTTGATACCTAGGATTGCCACAAAAATGAGAATAAACAAAGTATTTCCAATTTTTTTGGGTGTTAAGCGCTCGTTTTTACTACTGTAGTCGCACAAATTTGACGGGGTAAAGTCATCGATCAAAACGCCAATTTGACAGGGCTACATCAGATGTCAGGAGCTTTTTCTTGTTGACCTTCTCGTCGAATGCAATGCATAGTCAAGGGAGGCGGCGGATGGAAGTCCTAGCACACCGTTTTCTAAAGTGAAGTACCCCCTCTTATCCTAGTCTCCTGCTACCATTACTCAAAGTATCCAAGTCTTAGTCAGCACGTTGTCTGAACACGTTAACATTTTAAACGTTCATCGTTGACAACTTCATCGTTGAGCTACTCGTGTAAGCAGGTCCTCTGTGAACCTCAGTTTTCCCTTTCCAGGAGTGACAGGTTCCCATCTTCTTGATGACTTCGTGGCGTCAAATTAGTCGAAATGTGACTCATGACATGTAGAATCTTTACGAAACTTCTGTATCTCCGCTTTCATTGACTCCTTTTTTTTTTGGAATTTTCGCATTTTAAAATAATGTGGTTATATCCACTAGCATGGTTCAGGCTTTCAATATTGAACATAAAACTTGTAGGAGATGGCTTGGACTTCACCAAGGTTCTGGTTCACTTTGTAGCATAACCGAACGGCCCGTATAATCGAATGTTGTTGAACCTATGATAGTAATGTTAATAGTAACATAGCTCCAGATATTGCGTCCACTGGTGTGAATTTTCAACAGAGAAATTAATGTTTTGCAGGATATGAAAGTTTTTCCAGGTAGGAAGTAGATAAGAAAAACAGGCAGTGACCTTGTCAAGAGCCGCCAACGGAGGCTTAGGACCACCTTGTTTGGAGAAACTAGGTTCGAGTGCTGAGGATGCGTATGAATAACGTTTACGGCCGCTATTAGGTTAAGATTTACACACTAGGCTGCGGGCAACAAAATCGTATTATTTTCAGACACGTGGCTCCATTCGTTGGAGCACTAATTTTCACGGGTACCGATTTTTCAAGTTGGTAACTTGTAACCAGAATACCCTTTCAGTTGGTAGGCGGCAACATATCCAGGACGAATAAGAATAATGCCGACCACGTAGACCAGATATCGGGACGAACTAGATGCGTGGAAACGAGAACAATGGCCCATATTCGTCGCTGCATTCTTTTTGTTGTTCCCTTTATACAATTCGTTCTATAAGCACATTGAGAAAAAAATACACGCCGGGGTACGATCTTCATTTTACAGATGGCAAAGTCCTGGTCTTGCCCTTCGTTCTTGTTTTCTCTTTGGGAGATTGCTTGCATGTTTAAGGTCAGGCCGTCGTCCGCTCCAATACTCCTTTTACTCACTAGTTCTATCAACCCACTGTTATTTCAAATTTATTGCCAGGTAATGCGTGCAGGAGGCCATCTTGTTGGAACACAGAAAGCCTGCAAGAACAAAATCAATACAGCTGTTACCTAAAGAAACGATCGGTGCATCACCGACTTTATCATGTTTCGGGAGAGCCAAGAAATACGCTTCGAAAATATAAGCATCGTCGACTATTGTTCGGCTCCGAGCTGTCAATAAATCTGTTCACTTTAAAAAATCCTTCCCTCGAACATTTGTTCCTCGTGAAATGACGGCCGTCTAAATATGGAAATAGAGGTCTTGTCCCGAATAACTGATGACTCTTGTTGGCGGTGTCATTCCAGCACGGCTGACCCATTCGGGAGACGTGCAAGAGAAGCTCTCTCGTTCCTGGGGTCACATCGACCCTTATGACCTTCCCAGGGTTGTGTATAGAGAGAGAATGAGGGTGGTTGCAGCCATCACATCTGAGATGTGTGGGCGCAGCTGCATGTAGATCGAGATGTGGTTGCACGTAGATCAGTTATACGTAGATCGAGATATTTTCTTTTAGATATCGGTTATCTTTTTCTATTTTTAATAAATAGCACATGTAATCTCTTTTTTTGAGTGTGTGAGTCATCTCAAAGGTATTGAGACGTGGTAGTAGAAGTCTTGTTCTCATTAGGATTTCTAATAACTTGATGATTTCTCTTCTATTTGTTCTCCTACAAGTTTAAATGATGCAAAGGGAGAAAGAAAACGCATCTTTTAAAGACCTTCAATGGGCTATAGTGAATGGTGGTTGAGCAATAGGCTACCTATTTATCTACCTATTTAACAGACTAGTCCGTATCTGTACAGGTCCCATGACGTTGCCTCTCTCATGCTCTCTCCACGTCGTGTTCCTCTCTGGACCTACCGATTTCTATTACTGAATCTCTAGTTATTGAAGTCGAATAAATAAGGACGTACTTTGACGGCGGAAAGCCACTTCAAGCGCATGGAGTCCTCACTACTGGGGATGATACAAATAACTCCAACGTCAGACACCTTTTATTCAATAGCGTATACGAATGCAGAATTGCAGACAAAAGGTCTAGGTCTCAGTTGTTGTCCGTCCAGAACTGGGACTGGAGGTAGTCCACGACCTTCTTGTCGACCTGAAAAGCCTTGGCGAGTAGGTCGTCGTTGATAACAGGCTTGGACCCGAAGACGGCGTTGGCGACGGTGACCACGCCCGGGTTCTGGCTGCTCAGGGCGGCGATGGCTACCGCATTCTCGTGGCCTATGTTGAGCTGGAAGTGGATGAGGCCCTCGGGGAAGACGAAGACGTCACCCTTGTTGAGAATCTTGGTGAAGAGCTTGGGCGGGTTGGAGGTGACGAAGCCGACGTAGAGCTTGCCCTGGAGGAGTGTGAGCACCTCCGTGGCCCTCGGGTGGGTGTGGGGAGGGTTGAGTCCACGGCGGGCAAAGTCTACACGGACGAGCGAGATGCCGAGGGTGTTAAGCCCGAAGAGGTTGTTGACGTTGACGGGGGTGACCTTGGATCCGAGAGCGTTCTTCGTGTCGCCGGGCTTGTCGAGGCCAGAGAAGAAGAAGTCATCGGCCTTGACATGGGCCGGGTTCTTGCAGACGACACCATTTACGAACACTGCAACAGACAGAGTATGAGAAGAACACAGTACGCAGAAGGCAGCACGTCGATCGCGAGGACTACATACCCTTGGTGGTGTTGTCTGCTACACAGAAGTCCTGCAGTGGACTCGGGTCGGAGGCGAAGGCTTTGGTAGAGGCGAGGACGAGCACGACGAAGGCAAAAGCGTAGGACGCCATTTCTGGATCCTTCGTTCTTTTGTGAGTATTGGTTCTCCTCAGGTTCTGATGGGTTTGAGTAACAAAACCTTTCGTGGGTATTTATAGACGGCCTGGTGAATTGAACCGCGTACTAGCGGTTCTTGAGAGATGGAATTGGACTTCGTCTGATGTCTCGGACTGCTGCAGATGGTGGTCTTGTGATCCAGTCACTTGTCATGTGAGAACGGCGGGTCTGGAGACAACAAATCGGACTTCGTCTCTTCTCTCTAAATTCTGAAGAACGAAAGGACTTCTAACCGAGTCGTTTCTGGATGCCTGCAAAAATTTCTAAACGGGAACGAAAAGTCGTTGCCGTGTTTAATGATCCGAATTCAACGACCCGACCCAGCCCTGTATACTTATGTTCCTAACCTCACCATTTCCCCGCCGTCGTAGTCAGTGTCCCGCGGAGACAATCTTAACTTGGACTATCATTGTCCTTCCGTTTTTCCCCAGAGGACGTGTCTTAGACCAGTAGCTCGCGAAGAATAACTTGGACTATTTTGTGCTTGTTATTGAAAACTCAATTCACGAAGAATCCCTTGTGCAAATCTAGTTTCCTATTAGCAGAATCATCCGAGCCTAAGGAAAATATTGACAGCTTTGTTTCGAAGGTTAATTGATATTTAACGAATGATTATTGCGATGGTATTCCTCGAAGATTATTCTACCAACTGATTCGTATCGTTCGAGTTCCAGACGGACAAGGCTTCTTTTAAACTCTCCAACGGACTTCCCGCATTTTGGGCTACTTTTTTGCTTTGCAGGTGCCCGCATTTTGTGGGACAGGAACCTTCCCTGCTTGCTAAACGTAGCTGGTAACCCCGTCTCAGTCTTCTTACATACAAAGTGGACTTTGCTCTGTCAGATACGACAAGACAAAAAACGACGACAAGTTCCAAATGCTTTTTAAAGCCTTTTATTCTAGCGACCAGAACAACGGTGTTATTGCGGTACCCAGAACCCTCCCCGGTCGTACTTCTCCATCTATAACGTCGGTACGAAGGAGGTTCCAACTACTCGCTTGGTTACTTCATACGTGAATAATTAGGACTATTAGGGTACCCAGAACATTCTTTTGTGCAAAGTGATCTGACTATATCCTCGCCGGTCGGTTCCCCTGCGCTGGAAGCTGCTTCATATATCTCGGTCCCCGCCGGCGAAATAAAAAAAATAATGTAGTTGGGACTTGCTGATATAATCGCTAACGTTCGCCATAAACTCCCACACACTCTTTCGGAGCCTCCCTTAAAATCTCTCTTGTTATCGTTGATTATGGAGCAACTTTCCAAAGAGACAGAAATGATAGATTCGCAACTTTTGGCTCTGGTTTACCGCTCATAGATACCTTATACATTCTGAACCCTAGAATTCCCGTGATATGAAGTAATACAGTGCTTGAAATGCATGAACGAACCCTTAAAGTGGTCATACAGTACGACGTCACTGTTGAGTCATCTCCATGTCGGAGATGGGCTTTTTGGCGGGAAAGTAAAGCGGCACTGCCGGTTTGGGGTACGACTTGGGGTGCGGACGGAGGTTCAACCGGAGGTGAGGAGGGGGGTGGTGGTAAGGACAACGGCACGAGTGATCCAAACACTCTTAAATGGCCAATGTAGGGCCTTCAGCCAGTCCATGCCTCGTATGGGGTTAAACCCTATAGACTGGAAGTAGAAGCACGATTTACTAAATAAATTGTAGTACTTACAGCTTCACCCTATAGTTCACGAGGTAAGTCTTTGTCCTTCAGCATACTGTGAACTAAGGACATAATTGTCCTATTCTTCCTCTCCACTATCCCATTCTATTGAAGAGAATAGGGGGCAGTCAACTGTCTTTTAATGTCTTGTGACACACAGAAATCAGTGAATTCATTAGATACAAATTCTTCTCCCCTGTCTGATTGAAGACACTTAATTTTGGTGTTCTTTTCAGCCTCAGCCAAAGCCTTAAATTGCCTGAATTCTCTAAATGCATCAGATTTGTTCTTCAGTAGGGACACCCACAACAGCCGAGTAAAATCATCCACAATTAAGAGAAAATAGCGACTTCCCCCTAATGTGGATGGCGAGATTAGGCCACAAATATCTATGTAGACAAGCTCGAGAGGTGTTGAAGCTCTGAAAGCCGACGCTTTAGGAAATGGGGTGCGGGCTTGCTTTCTTGCAAAACAACTTCGGCAGACATGATCAGAAACCCTAAGCAATAGAACTCCCTCCACGAATTCTTTGCTCGACATTTCCTTTAGTGAGTAGAAATTCAAGTGGCCAAATGTCGAATGCCATAGCCGACTTGAATTTTCAACCCTTTTGGAGAGTAGGCACTGTTCTATCACATTAAGCTTGAGTAGATAAGGCCTCCCTTCTGTGCAATCAGCTTCAGCTAATAATGATCTATCACGATCAAATATAGTTAATCATCCTCCATACATGATTATCATAAAGCTTTCTTCATCTAACCTCCCCATACTAAGAATATTAGCACATAATTTGGGTACAAAAAGCACATTATTGAAGAGAATTCTCTCACCATCTTGCCGCTAAAATAGGATTTTGCCTCTGCCTTGAATTTCCACTCAAGAATTGTCACCAAATTTGATAAATCCGGAGGTTGATTCATCAAGGTCCGTGAAGTAATTTCTTCTCCCAGTCATATGGTTCGAGGCCCCGGTGTCAAGATACCACATTTCTAGATCTTTGAAATCAGTTTGTGAGCTTTGAAACAGAAATTCACTCTCCACTTCCTCAATTGTCATCAACAGAGAGGACGTTGCCACCGAAGTAGAGACCGTTGCTGCCGCTTGAGTGGACTCCGCCACATATGCCCGATCGTCCCTCTCTCTCTTTGCACTATGACATTCATATGCAAAACGCCCATACTTCTAGCAATTATAGCATTGGATACCTGACTTGTCGAAAAATTTCTTCTCTTCATCAGAAGATTGTTCACGTCTTCGACCACAGCTTCTGCCTCACCCTTTACCACAACCGCGATGACGCCCTCTTCTGCAAGATGAGAACTCCTCCTCACTCGACATTTTGACTTTGCTCAGCACTCTGGCCAGCAATACCTGCTCCTCTTCACGGGACTCGCATTCCTTGAGCTGCAGTTCGTGCACTGTGAGAGAGTCAATTACATCATCGAGGCTCACCTTGTCTAGATCTCCATACTACTCCACAGACAGGGTGAGTGCGTCAAATTTAGAAGGCATTGCCCTCAAAAATCACTACACAACTTTGCGTTCTTCCATTGTCTCTCTCAAGTTCCGTAATTCAGAGATGATTCGTGTGAATTTCATCACAAAATCTACTACTAAGTCATTCTTGGCCATTGTGAGAATTTCGTACTCATGCTTCAAACCTTGGATGTGTGACTGAATCACTCAGTCCACGCCGAGATTCCGTTGCTGTAGGATCTCCTAATTTTCTTTCGCCATTTTCTTGGTGTCAAGAACCATTAGCAAGTCTTCTGGAACTGCATTGATGAGATGCCTTTTTGATGCCATCGGGTTAAGAATTTGTGCTCCGGTGCTCTCTGCTCTCCGGCTAACTCTGCTAATCGATAGACTCTCCAATCAACAAGCCACAGAGTGCCTTTGCGCCGCCGCCAGGAGCAGGTTCCTCGGCCTTAATCTGCGGATTCCCGAGGACGTCGCGTTGCTGCTGAATTTCTGCGGCAGGCCGGTGCCGCCTGGGCTGACGTGCCCTTAAAACTTTTCTCCCAAGGAGACGGTCTATCGTTTAATTCGTACGCATATGAGCACAAACTCCGCCGTTGTCCGTGAACCCCAGGCCACTTCACCTCCCATCCAAGACGTTGCTCTGATCATTTTGACGTCTACTCCTACGATATTGTGTTTTCACGCTTCATTAAACAATTTGTCATCCGCATTTACGATGAAGCATGTATTGTTTCCTTAGAGATATCCTAATAGAATGAAAGTCGGGGTAATCTTTCTTTTCTGCTACACAGAATGTCTGTGTGATTCGATAATAATCGACAAGAAATACAGGATATACCATCATACAACGAACTACAAAGGTAGAGGAACGTACTAGGCAATCATAATTCTAATAACAACACCATATTCTTGTCAGAAACTCACCGGAGAGACGACGGCAGTTAAGACGTTGCCGGCGAGATCACCTCACGAGTCACAGGAAAAATAGCAGGAGGAACAAGGAAAACTTTCTCTCATTTTAAAAACTCTTACAGTCCTCTTAAATAAGAAAACAAAAGGGGGAAAGAAATAACCATAAGAAATAACTAACTGGTCAAGACTGGTCAGTAATGTGCGTTATGCAGAAAATTCCGCATTACCGCACAACGTGCCCTGACGTGTACACGTCAGAGCACTTCTCGCATAACCGCACTATGCCGTTATGCGAACAGGGCGGGGGGGGGGGGGCCACGTGCAAGGCTCCCGTTCACAACAATTCTTCCATCAGTCTTGGACAAGAACCAATACAGTGCATTACTTCTTCAGTCATGTGACCTATGAATGACTTGCATTGTATTATTGTCTTCGGTTGACCGAGATCTCCAAATGAAGACAACTATGAACTCAAAAGATCCAGCTTTCGTGAGTTATGCTGCAGAAAAAACCAAACCGGAATAGTCACAGCTTAGATGGACAAATGGAAGAACAGAAATGTGCTTAGTTGGAAAAATATTGGCAATGCGGTCATATTTTTGACGGCATAAGCTTGTGTAATCAATCACCGGGGAACAGATGTTAATGGAGGTAGTAGAGCGAATTACCTTTGGGATGGTAAGTCTCACTTCCGTGTTCGGATGACAACCATAACAGATTTAGGATATTTTAAATATTTCCCCAAGTATGAAAATGCATAAATCTAATCCCGAGTATTTCTAGGATAATTTAACTGAATGAGGTAATTTGGAAGATTACGTCTGATTAGCAGGATTTACTTCTGGTTAAATGGGAAGAAATATTTTTATTACTGGGCCCGAATTTAAGGACTATTAGATCAGACTAATTGGTTTTAATCTAAGGAGCTTATTGGATCTGTTATTAAGTTCTAATTTAAGCTGAACTTGATAAAACTATTGGGCCTGAAGAAAATTCGAAACGGATTTTGTTAGTTAGCTGTAAATACAAGGTGTATTGGATTTAGTTTTAATGTTCCGTTTTGGATCTCGGATCTCAGCAAAATAAGATACCGGACCGATCCTTCCCGCTGCATGAGTCCAAAGTTTTCAGACGTTCGACCATATGGGCAAACGGATCCATCCGCTCTGCCACTGTGGATCCGAAACTTACAATTTTATCATCATATCAACTAATATTATCTTGATCACTGTTCTCATCAAAAGCTTAAGCTAGCATCAAATTGATCAAAGCTTCCATTTAATCGATCCAAACAAAGAGAAGGTCGTCCATGCAAAGGAATCATCAAGATTTGGTAAATTTTCTCATCTTGCTTTATATCAAATTGGGAGAAATCAGATCACCTAAGAACCTGAAATCTTGGTAGAGAGAAGTGGGAAGCATCTCTTTTTTCGGCAACCTAGAACCCTATAATTCAGAAGAAAAATTGAGAGATCTTACATAGGCTAGAGCTGTAAAATCCAGCAGGTTCCTGGGGCTGAAATTCAGTAATTAAAATGCTTAGGAAATTATCGAACTGAAAATAGATTCCTTTGTACGTCAAAAGGACCTAGCTATTATATATTTCGTCTGGCCAGGCTCCTGGTAGCCTTAAAATGAGCCCCTAGTAGGGGTGGGGTGCACTGCCCACCTGCATTCCCCTCGTTCTTTTTCTAGAGTTCAACCCCTGTATATGTATCTCTATGTGAAGTGTTGTTGACTTCACATAGTAATATGGACAATTTAATGGGAGATGATCACATTATCAAATTACCAATTGGTCATGTTACTTCCCTAGTACAGTGTTGTCGACTGCACATAGTACAATTTTTCTTCTATTTATTTAAATCTGATTTCAGACGTCAGTTAGGTTTAAAGTCCTACCAGATGGCACACAATGTCACTGTGACCTCGTAACAGACAATATAAACTCGGAAATAATATGCTCTTAGCTCTCTCATATCTATTACTAGTCATAAATCAGATGCGAATCATCTTATCCTTCAGTATGCTTCACTCTAAATTTAAGGGAATATAGAAGTACATATCATTGGAAAAAAATCTTGAGTGCTTTCTATAGCTAAACCCAGCTACCTGACCAGCATTTTCCATCATTCACCTTCTCGATGGTGCATTAATCATATTCCTTGTCAATGAGGCTTGGCTAGTAAGGAAACAATTCAGATAGGAACTTCCCAACTTTGACAGCAGAGCAATACCAGAGGCATTGGCGTCTGCTTACTGTTTCTTGCACACTTTTCCCTCTCCTAATCTCCTTATTTACTAACCTAATTATAAACGTTTTCAGTGGTCAAGGCCTCACAATCATCTCTACTACATTGCTGCAGATGGTGAAAGGCGATGATGAGCTGAGCAGACATGAATGCACCTTCAAGGGGGTCAACATGTGTCCCAGCATGAACAAATCTGAAGGCTTAGTTGTGAGGCATTATCATCGCTGCCACAACATATTGCCATATTGAAGCTATAATAGGTTTTGGAACTTTAGCCTAGGAATGGAAACAAGAAACCTACAGAAACAAAAAAATGTTTGACATAACAAAGCCATGGAATCGTTTGGTCAATGTTCACAAAATTAATGATCTAACTTTGTATTATCTAATGTAGACTTCTAACGTTTGGCTTTCCCTATGAGAAAGGGAAATTACGAACTATGCGTAAGATCATAAGATCCTTATAAGGATGATGAACCTATGTTGGTAGATAATTCGAATTTTCTGAATTTTCAATCTTCTTAATGGTACCAATTTAAAACATTGGCAAGTTTACATTATGCTGTGATTATCATATATAAGATGCAACTAAGGACATATAACAGATTTAGTCGAAGGCCAAGTCACATAGTTGTCACTATCTTTAGTTCTGTTCATGACAAGAAAACTGTAAAAGTATTTTGAATTCCTGAAAATATGTAGCAAAATCCTAGGAACAATCTACAAAGGTACAATACTAAAATCATTTATAGGGTAGGCCTGAGTAGGCCTTTAACAAACTCATCCATGTACGATGATAAGAATAAAAAGTTCAAATTGTTGACGCATCATCTGCTCCACAATTCCTTTATTACTGGTACAAAATTGATGCGGGATACATTCAATCCTTGATGGCAAGCGGGACCCGTCTCCATCAGCTCAAGAGACACCAGCAGTTTGAGTTCAATCTGATCGACATGCGAAGATGGAGCCTGGCTTTCGCTACACAGCCTAGCCCTTTGGGATGACGACATTCTACCTCTACGACGACGACGAGCTTGAGCTCACCCCTTATCTTTCTTTGTATTTTCACATTGACTTGTTAGGCCTCACATTTGTTTGTTAACAGACCCAATTCTATGTGTGTGTGTTATTTTTTGTGTCTCCCTTTCTTTAAGGTTTTATTAGGTCTCTCTTTTGAGGCCCAATTAAAACCCTAAGGGGGGAAGGGGAGGGACTTATGCTTCTTTCCTTTTGGGCTTCTTTTGGGCTTATTTGGGTCTTCATTTGAGGCCCACTTAAGCACCTACGAGGGCCCTCCTCTTACTCCTTTTAGGGGAGCTTGTCGGGTCTCTCTTTTAGAGGCCCAATAAGCCCCTTTTGTAGCCTTTTATGGCTTATGAGCTTGAGGACCTCAAGTGGGCCCACCTCCCCTTAGCCCACTTGTGGATCCTAAGTAAGGGGAGGTAGGACCCCCCCTTAAAAGAGCGCCGTATTTTTTGTGAGAGATTATCGCTTTGTGATTACCTTCTTCGTGACCTAGGATAGGGACGGAAGGAGGTAGAGGACATGGACGAAACAGTTCATCGTGACGTTGCGATACCCCGAGGACTTCATTCATCGTGATGCTGCTGTCTGAGAAGTCCCACTGCCGCCTGAGACCACTGCCGCCGCTGGTCATCTCATTGCCGCCCGGGAGTTTGCCGCCGTCACCGGACGAAACAGTCGTGATTGTCGCTGCAACTGCCGCTGCCTCTGTTGGAACCCCGTCATGCTGTCGTGACGAAAGGGGCTCGCATCGCCTCCCTACGAGCCGTCGCCAAGCACTCCGCCGGAGTCTCTTGACTCCTGATTCGACTGCCACCTCTTCCTCCGAAACTCCATAAACTCGCCGGAGCCACCATCCGTTGTTCCGCCCAGTCGCTGGCCATTCGCCGATGAATGCCTACCTGCCGCTGACGTCGGGAGAGACCTTGCTGCCGTGCCGACGAGCCAGATCTATTCCAAGCTCCTCACCGGCCCCCGCCAGAGTTTCCCGACGATCCGCTGCCGTCACGTTGTTTCCAGCACCGCCTAGACCAAGAGGGCTCAACCCTCCTTGGTATCGTCGGCCGGATTGCATCCTTATGTCGCTCTGCTTCCTGGTGCCGCTAGAGAAGGCTGATCCTTCCAGCGACGGTTGGGTTTCCGCCCAACCACTGACGCTCGGCATCCCCGCCGAAGTGCCACTGATGCTCGGCATTCCTGCTGAAGCACCGCTGACGCTCGGCATTCCCACCGATGCGTTGCTGACGCTCGGCATTCCCACCGAAGCGTCACCGCCGCACGCACCCCGTGTGCTAGTTCTTGTGGCCCGCACACCCACCCGGCGCCACCACTTGCATGA